TTTGATTCAGCTTTTTGTGTCTGGTGGGAACATTTTCTCAAAATGTAGGTGCTATTTCCTGTAATCAAGGGCTTTCCAGAGCCTGATAATCATTTCCCAGCTGTATCATTTTGGTGAATTATTTTTTAGCCTTAGGTTATTTCATGACTGGTTTTGCATATTAAGAATGGGAGAGGATCATATTCATCTTGATGATAGAAAACAGGGAATAGAACTCCCACAGCTCCCTCTCCCTTTCCCTTCACCTTGTGGAAAGTTTGGCTTTGTGCTAAAGTGTGAAAAAAGCCTTGACTGCAGTATGTCAGGCATATTTCAGCTCGATTTGTGTCAACCCTAATAAGTCAGCTGACAAGGTAATAAATTGGGTGTCTGTTCAAGACCTGGCACCTGTACAGGAAATAAAAGGGGATTTCAGTTGCAGGAGGTTTGCTTTGTTTTGCAAATGGACCTTTTCTCAAGGCTCTTCTACCTCCCCCCTTCTCCTCTTTACTGAAATCGTGTTATCAAAATGTTTATTTCAATTGTGACTGGAACCAGTTTTTCATCTGGAAAAGAAAGCTCTATGAGTATGCATGGAAATAGAAATCCTTATGCTTTCCATCTGAAACAAAGGCTTACAGAGTATTTAATTATTCATGTATCCTGCTGTTACATGTATGGTCTGAATAATTTCAAATTATTGAGGAGAAACTGCCTTTGTTCAACATTTTGAAACTTCATATTCATATAGTTTGAATCAGGCTAGAAAAACTGAATTTATTTAACCCAGGGAAACCGTATTAGTAATACCTCACTATTTTTAATGATAATATAACCTTGTGATCAGGGTGTCTTAACATGTTTCCCTCTGTGTCTGACCTCGAAGGATGCAAGTCTGCTAGAGCCCTTGAGAGCCAAGCCTTTGTAGGTCCAGCTGTAGAGTTGTGTTTTTAGCTCAGGGGCCCCAGGTCAGTTCCCAGTGTGACATGAGGTGATGACTCCAACAGTGGCGAGAGCTGAGGCAGTTTCCTTGGGGTCTTCACTTTCAATACATGGATCTTCCTCCATGCTCAGAAGAGAGAAGAGAGCTACTGTCTCTCACCCTTTTTCCCTTCTGGTGACTGTCCTGGGCACCATGAAACAGGCTTTCTAAAACTTTCAGGCTCTAAAACTGATCTGTGGGTTGGATGAAGAAAAATGGGATCTTGTATTACCTGAAATGGGTAGCTGCCTTTTTCTCCAGTTGAATATCCTCCACCTTTTCCCTCCTTCATTATCCCATAGGGATCTACTATAAGTAGGTCTTCATGTCCACATGGAGAGTTCATCTCCCAGAATTTCCTTCTTGGACTTTTTTAATTAGAGAAAGTGATAATCTCACCCAGTGGAAGGAGAATGGGGGAAATGGTTTATTAAAGCAAGTATTATCACCTTGGAATAAAGTATGTATGAACTTTAGAATCTAGGAGACGAGAATGAACTCTCAAAGTTAAAATAGTTGCCTAAGTGCATACTTTGCACATAATAAGAAAATTTTCAGTAGAAATGTTCAAAATCCAAGAATATAAATCTATGCAATGTTTTGCATAATAAGGTTTTCTATTCAGTCTGTCTGTTCTAGGATTTATTGCTCCATATGCAGATGATTGGACTAGATGACAAAAGTCTTACCTATCTGCTTCTGTCATATTTATGGTTAAAACCTAATATTTAAATAAGCAAAAAGTTTTCTTAAGTTCTCTTCAGTATTTTCAAGAAGTGAAAATGGAACTTGAGGGATAAGAAAATGGGCAATATAAACCTTTAAAACTCCAAGTGAACTTTTAGAATCGTAATTGAATGCAAGCTCTGGACTTCCCTATCCATCACACCGTAAATTTTTTAAAAATACTTAGCTAAGCAACTCTTTTTTTCTCCAGTATTGCATAGTGATATGATGGATTATTCTAAATTAATTACAGTAATCAGCTAGTGCTATGTGCTGTAGAGTTGTGATTCAAGCATGAAGGAAAGAATGCACAGCAAATTACTTATACAAAAAAATGTGTTCCAGGGTTAGCTCAAGTTTTACCTCTTGGCCTCAGCCTATGGAAAAAGAAAAAAAAAAAAACAACCACCAAAACTCGAGGGTGAAATACTGAAAGCTGATCAAAAATGGAGGAAATGTACCAGTTCACATATCTTTGGATGTACTGCAAAGGCATTATAGGTTAATAAAAGCAAAAGAATAAAGTAAGAAAACAGTACCTAATAATAACTGATACTCTATGTTGCAAGAGGTGTTTTAAATTTCCTGGTCATTGAAAAGATGTTAAGAAATGCCCATTCCTTCGTGCTTGAATAATATCAGCTCCTTTCTGACCTGTTGTGAAAGGGGTTCAGAATTTATACTGAACTTTACAGATGCCGCATGAGGTGAATTGCAAAAATCTGGTTGGACACATATAATCTTCTTTAAAAATATTTATAGAACACAGCTCTTATGAAAATTAAACATGTTCCAGGTGTGTATGGTCCAACTTCTGGGCATAGCTAAGTTGTTTCTGAAGTGGCAGATACACCTGTCATTGCTAGTCAAGAGAAATTCTTCATCTGCCAGCTGCTGAAAAGAAACTTCATGGTTTTTGTTGTGTTTTGGTTTTGTCCAAGACAAAACCTAGGATGATTGTAGTAAAGGTAGGAATGAGTTGCAGGTAAGATGTGGCAGCTGGCTGTGGAAAAGATACTAGTTCTCTTCCTAAGCGACAACTCCTTAAGCTTCAGTTTCTTGGGATAAAATAGTGGATGTGATACTATCTGCTTGGAGGCTATTTTTGGGAGCTTGGGATTTTCAGATGACATTGTCCCTCGGTAACGGAGAAGCTAGCAGCACAGAAACTCAAGATGTTTCCTTCTAGCCTTATTCAAAACACTGTTATGGGGAAGAGGTGCTAATGCCAGAAGTATAAAAGCTTTGAATGGATGTCTTTGCAAAAATATGGAAGCTGCTGCAAAGTTCAGTCATAGCATGTGGGATGGTTTGTGAGCTGAAACAGCCATGTTTGCTGAGGTTTCCTTGTGTTTCAGTGCAACTACTCAAAAGGACAGGACATGGCTAAACTGTTTTCAGGGATGGTTTCCAGGTGTGTGAAACAAGGCTTTAGAGGAGAAGGAGTATAATATATCCTCTTTTTTAATTTTGCAAATTCAAGTATTTTGGGGGCCATGCCATAAACTATATAAAAAATAATCAATCTGGAAAAAAAGAAACAAAAACCAAAACAAAACCCAACCAAAAAACAGGGTTTGTGAAGAAGTACCATTGAGAAGTGGCACTTGAGACAAGAATGAGCAGCCATGGACAGAGAGATGAATGGAGACTCTTTTAGCTGATTTCAGTGTAAGGTGAAGTTCCAGGTTGAGACTGAAGTGAAAGATGTTGGTCTGTGACAGTATTTCAGCTGAGGTTTTGCAAGACTATGAGACCTATGTGCAGTTTGCTACCACCTCATTCAAGTAGTGTCTTGCAGGTACACCATTTGCATATTCCTTTGAACTTCCCTGAATTTGAATCCCTCAGTCTTCCTTAAATCATGAATATGATTTATAGATTTCTAAAATCTTGGGCAACTTTACACAAAGATGTTGTTCTGATGATGCTTCCTCCACCCCCCGCCTGCCAAAAAATATACCAGCAGCAAAACATCTGAGAAAGAGATTAATTTTTTCTGTATGTAGATGATGGTGCTAATGATAATCTTATTTCTGACTCTTAGGCCTTAAACTGAGGTGTGTTTCATCCACTGGCATAAAAAGGATATGTGTGACTTTCCTACAATAAGTATCTTTTCCCTTTTTTTTTTTTCTGCTTGCTGCTTTTCAGTAGCTACCCCAGTTCAGTTCACCACAGTCCCACAAACATTTTCATCAACTCAGCAAAGGAGGGTAGCAGGAGGGGGTGTGAGGAAGCTGCTGCAAATCATGCTGCGGTCTACTCCCTTCTACAAAAATGACAGTTTAAATATGCATCAATCTGCAGGTGAGGCACCACTTCACCACTACGTAAGCCAGTTGTCACCTGGGCCACTCCTGTGTCTATGGCCTCTCATCTCTCTCATGCTGGGGTTAACATTTCCTCATCTGTCCAAAAACTCACCCAGCAAAACCAAAGCAATTTGTTTGGAGGCAACTCAGCTCCCAGGTCAGTGAAATGAGGTGGCAGGTGGTGGGTCACTGAGGGGAGAGTGTGACTGGGGCAGCCCAAATTTCTATTAACCTGAACAGCTGTGGAGAGTTACTACAGCATCTGGCCTGCCCATCCCAGAGCTACTTTCTTTCTCCTTCTCCTGGTCTCAGCACTGACTTGCTTTAGGTCAGGGGTAGCTGCTCACTCCCTGTAATCCAGGAACTTCTGATGGCTTTCCTGCCTTTGCAAATTAACGATTTTTTTCTCCCCCTTTCTGTCAGCTGTGCTATTTTGCTGTATGAATTGTCCTTTCCCTTCTCTTCAGAGGCACTGGGCTTTGTCTTTTCCTGCTGCATTTATCCTCTTTTAAAATGAAGTTCAGTGATACACTGGGCTGATCAGGTGTCTCACTGCTTCCAAAAGTCCTGTCACCTTCTGTGCCCTTCCTTACAATGGAAGCAGACAAGATAATGTCATACGTTAGTGTTTGAGCATAATTGCTGCTATACTTCAGTCACTTCTGATTTGTGAGTTTAGTAAGGGTAGGTTTCTTCCTGATTGAGGAAAACAGAACACCATAGCACCTGCAGAGCACTGGAGCGCTTCAGCCTTTGAGCATGTCTAAAACCACAATACAGGTGGCAGGTGGGTAAGGGTTGGTTTTAAAAATCTCGTAGACTTTAAGCAAAGGTTTCGCTGAAGTCAATAGTAGTGTTACTTGACAGAGGTTGCAGAACTTGGAGACTGGTTTTATGTGTTACAAAAAGACAAAGATAAGTGGTAAATGTATAGTGAAAAGGTTCTGTAATTAAAGTTGACAAAATTACTGATAAAAATATTTGGTTCTCTATTTCAGTGTTTTATTCAGAAGTGTTGACTTAATTAGTTATATCTACGTATGGAATAACTACAGACTCTTTGAACTGCCCTGGGACTCACCATGGACGTGGTATTTGACATTCCTGGGAGTGGACTTTGCATACTACTGCTTTCATCGCATAAGCCACGGTAAGAGTTAACGAGTTTTCCAGGTATTAAAATACAAAATGTATTAATAATTTACTAATAAAATGAGGTACTGTTTTTTGTTTCTATAGTTAATCTACTCTAAGCATATATAGCTGTTCTTCCCAAGGATTAGCAAAGACTCACTTTTATTTGAGCATGGAAAACTGTTTATACATCATTCTCTGTATAATAAATGTGATTTTGTGAAAAAAGGGAGTATCATTCTGGAAGAAGTATCATAATAAAAGTGAAGTATCATAGGAAAAAAATAGGAAGTACAGAAAAATTTAGGGTTAGTATCTCTATATGCCTGAATGAAAAATACAGCACAGTACAGATAACTCTTTCAAAAGAACCTCATGGATGTACACAATGGAGAGCAGTAAAAAGCAAGGTGGCCAAAATAATGATGGGACCGCTGGCTAACTTCATCTCTTTCTGTGTGTTTTTAAAAACCTTTTTGATGAATAAATATGTTTCTATACTTTATATACGGACATAGTATACATGTATGTATAAAGTATTTTCAAAATTCTGTCTGCAACTAACATGACTACGTAAATGCGAGTCTTGCCTTGTTTTTTTAGAAGTACGTTTTTTTAACCCTACTTGCTTTTATACATGAAAGAGGAAAATTACAATTTAGAACGGATTTAACTTTTATTTATTGTAACAATGAAGCCCATGCATATCATGGCAGTTATTTCTGTACATATGTATTGTGAAGATGTAATAGTATTGGTCCCTGTGTGTCTGTCTCATTACATAATTCTGTTCTATAGTGACAGCATATTTTTGCTCTAACATTTTATTTCCTATCTGAAAATGCAATAACACTTTCCATCAATCCTAATTTTGGGCCTAATCTAAAGTCTGTAGCATTGAAATAAGAATCTTTGTGTTGTTTAAGAAACTTCAGACTGGGCTTCTGAAGGCAGAGCGCTCACAGCTCAGAAAAGCTGTGGGATCTGGTAACGATAGTTTATGTAATGCACCTTCAGTAAGGAAAAATGTTTTGATGCCAATAGGTCAGCAGTCTATATGGAAGTAGGTAAGAAAGGAGCCTGAGCTGCTGCGGGGAGTGGGAGGGAGGAAGGGTCCCTCCTGGGTGGGGATGGCAGGCAGGCGTGAGAACAATGCAGGGTGAGTGCAAGGGGACAACAATGGGGGGGGGCCGGGGTGGGAGGTAAGGAAGCAGGGGGAGCTGGAACAATGCAGCAGGGGGGACATTGCGGCCAGGAGCTGGGAGCCCTGTGTGGGTGTACGCAAGACTGGGAATACGCTTCGCAAACAATGACATTAACAGTGCTGGCAGGGCTACAGCCTCAGGCTGAGAACTGGACCAGAGCAGGAGATATTCCTGAATTTTAAAACAAAAATAATTGCCTTCAAGTGTTAGAAAATCACTAGCCTTGCTGTGCTTTCACTGGAGTCCATGGTAAAATTCCTACTGGCAGAGAAGGGAGCAGGGTCAGCTCTGTGCTTTCCAAATCAATTGCACGTAGTTCTGTTCCTACAGCAACTTTGCACTTAAGCTTGCCTGTTCTTCTATATTTTGAAGGGATTGCACACTTTGAAACGAATCTTACTAGCAGATTTAGAATTGAAATCCAAACCAATTCTGTCTATATGTAATGGAGTTGAGGAAATGGCTAAGAAAATACAGCTTTTGTCTTAAGAAGGTCATTGCTGAGCTATTTTATAAATGTTAATTTACTTTTCAGGTTACAGAAATACTATTTGCTGTTAGGTCTGTGTTACTCGACCGGGAACTAATGCAACATTATAGAAAATCACTCTAAATGGAGATTTTATCTTAACGAACACTCTTTTCTCTGGTCAAGCAATGATGAAATCCATAGCATGGCAACACAGCTGCAAAAGTCAGATGGTTTGGAAGTTGCTAAGGAAATTTAAGTGTAGGAGATGGCTTTAAAAAGTAAAATGTAAATTCCTGAAAAATACTTTTGCACTTTGAGAAGCCAGGGCACTGGAACAGTCACTGGTGCAAGCACACAAAACACACTCTTGCTCTCGAAAGTGACAGGGCCTGGTGATTCAGGCTTGGATCCTAGAGCAACGTTAAAAATTGATAGCACATGTGTATCCCAGGAAATTCAAGCTGTGTGGGCTTATGTGTGGGGACGTAAATAACAGCACTAATTGTTTCAGACTGGAAAACTAACATTCAGATATGTTTTGCAGTTTTTTCTTAATACTTGCTATATTTTTGATACAAAGAATCATTATCGTGTAGCTTTTCCTGTTGCCAAGCAATAATTTGATAGCTCAAACCCTTAGCTTTTTAGCACCTTCTTTCATGTTGTCCATGCAATAATTGGATTGCCCCTTCTGCTGTTTGAATCAATGGTCTAAATCATTACAGGTTTTAAAGTGTCTTCTGTAGCAGAAACTTTACTACAGAATACCAAGCTTTTACTCAGAACTTGGGAAGCTATTTTTTCCTCTTCACTATATGTGTGTAATAGCTATTATCATAAACTGAAGTTATACAGCAACAAGAGGAAGTATTTTCAGGTGTGATCTCATTTTGCAAAGGATAGAGTTATTCTAAGTATGTGCTTGTATTTTCCATTGTTTGCAGTAGCCACTAAAAGGTTAGAAAATAAAATGTTTCACCACTTATTCCAGCATTCTTCTGGGTGTGATCCAAAAGTCATGGCAGTCAATGGGAGTGCTCAGTTAGCCACTGCTTTTTCTCCTGATGTTTTAATGAATTTATAAATCAGTGTAATTTTTCCCTTTCTTTCAGTAAAAACACCCGTTATGGCTGTACTACTAAGAAAAGTAAGCTGTAAAATCACAGGGGTTTGTTTTTGTTTGGTTGTTGTTTTTTGTTTTTTTTTTTTTCAGGGAAGTATATGTGTGGGTTTGAGGGACTTTTACCAGATATTTTAATCTAGCATATATGGATTACTCCTCAAGTTTCCTCTCCAGGTGCAGAGTCCTTACAGAGTTACTCCTGCTGGAAGGGGGGATTCAACGGTCCCAAAGCAGTGCCGAGCCCTAGACGTGGTGCAGCACACCCCTCCCCACGCCCTGGCCTTTTGGATACTCCTGTTGCAGACATATGACAACGGCAGTAAGGAATTTGGAGGCTCTGTAAACTAATTTCTTCAGCAGCCACACCTTTTAATCAGGGCAGGAAATCTAGAGACTTCCAGATCCATGCAAAAACAAGACAGACGCGCTTGTGCGGAGCCCAGGTCCTGACTGCAGGACAGTGGGGGGTTTCATGGCTGTCCCTGGTGTGGGGGGCTTTGCTGGGCCCATGGGCACCCCCCGATCTGATCAGGGCCCTCGGCAGTGGCTGCTCTCTCAATCCTGTGCCCCAAAGGGGGGTGGTGGGGAATGGTAAAACTCTGGTCCTCGGTGTAAGGGAGTCATTTTTAATCCATGCTTCCCAGGGGGTTGTGTCTTCCAGAGCAGCATGGTTTTCTGTCAGTTGAGGGACCCTCCTCTCCTCTTTCAGGCGCTGGAAGAAGCTGTCCAAGTCTGGCAGCCAGCAGGTTTAGAGAGCCTGTCTCATTTTAACGGCAGCTTCCAACACCTCTTCTTTTGTTCTCCTTTACTGCTGGGGAATTTCCATTGCTTCAGTGTCCCTCCCCTCAGACAACCTGGGAGAAGCCAGTTTCCTTCAGCAGGGCCAACCTCCGCAGCAGCTGCATTGTTTTGCCAGGGCCACGGCAGCCCGTGTCAGCCGCTTGCCCCCATTGTCCGTTGGCGGCTTCCAGCCGCCCTGTGGGATACGTGACACGGTCCCTGTCAGCAAAAGACCGAGCCAATATGAGCTGATGGTTTGAGTTATGTGCAGAGGTCATAAAATAGACCTCAACTGATAACTATATCCTCAGCAGATTCCCCAGCTGCTACATAAAATTTTGAGTTAATGGTGTGTGTCTTAATAATTCTGAGTTGTTTATGGTGGATGAGAAATAAGCCTTCTACTACACCAGGCATATTCTGGATCAATAGGCTACTCAGATTCTCCCACCCCCAGGACTGACCTTTTGGTCAAGGCCAGCCTCTGAAGGGTCAGAGGACAAAGAAGAAACTTTGAAAATTCACTTCACCTTTGTACCTCAAAAGGCCGTGCTGCAGATCTGTGGCAAAATGTCTCAACTGAGGTTGTTGAGCTGACTTTCTTTCTAAGATTTCCACAAATTTTGAAGCTTTGTGAACTTTTAATCTCCCGTTTTGTCAAATTTTTTAAAAAGGAGATTTCTATTAGCTATAATTTACATTGCTTCTTCCTCTTCCCTCAGTAAGCATCTTTTCTTACAGTTTTATAGAACAATTTCCTCAGCAGCAAAGCTGACTTCAGAAGTTTCTGGCTGCTCTTCCCTATACTATGCTACAGTTCACTACCCACTCAGTTCTGAAAAAATCCTCCTGCATGGAGACTGTGTGCATAAGATTGCTGAAATAGTTCATGTTAAAAATCAGACTTGTGTTGGGTTTAATTCTTAAACAATTCAACGTTCAGTACACATGGGGTCATCTTAGCCATGGGTCAGGATAAGCAACATAAGCCAGACTTGCTAGCAGAGAATCTACGGGATAACTGGAGACTTCAGATAGAGCAGAAAGGATTTTCTGGGTCAGTAGTGCACAGGCAGCTAACTCATTCTTTTGTAAGGAACCAGAGTGGATAAATTGGGGCAGGTAGTTTCTCAAGATTAATGCCATTAAAATGACTGGAATGGACGACAGTAAAACCCAGTCCTGTTCTTTCTGCTAATTATATACATAGTCTACAAGAATAATCCTAATGTGTTATCACTTTGGGCACCAGTGCAATGCTATGTTCACTGTTGAATGAGGAGATGAGTTTGAACTGGCATGCTTGTTAAAGGAAAAGGCAGTGAGGCTCAAAGTCTCTTTACCATCTACATTTACTGCTCATTTTTGGACGGTGTATTGGAATCATATGATTGTGCTATCTTTATTTATCTGACCTATTCCTGCCTTTGAAGTGC